CAATTTTGGTTATATGAACTTATTTGTAGATCTTACTTTGCTGAACATATTTGCTGCTTACAGTTTATCCTTATCATTAATACTATTCAAGATAATAACCAATAAAATGCTTCGCTGGGCGCAGCTTGATACGACCGCAGAGGTCGAACCCTGAACAGTTGGGGCAAGTATGGACACAACATTCAAACTTGATACAGCTCTGAATTTGGATTGTGATTAAATATTAGACACAGCATAGGTTTCTGACACAGAAAGAATGTGGTCTAAGAACTTGATTTTTTTTAATTTAACTATTATGGTCCAATGTCCAAAATCAAAATACATGGTTAGATTCAGCATATCAAAGAACCCCATATATTCAATTTTTGTTGAAATCAAACAAAGTTTAATTTTGGACCCCAACTTGGACCAACTTGAAAACTGGGCCCATAATCAAAAATCTAAACACATGTTTAGATTCAGCATATCAAAGAACCCCAAGAATTCAATTTTTGTTAAAATCAAACTAAGTTTAATTATGGACCCTTTGGACCTTAATGTAGACCAATTTAAAAAATGGGAACCAAAATTAAAAATCTAAATACACGGTTAGATTTGGAATATCAAAGAACCCCAATAATTCAATTTTTGATGAAATCAAACAAAGTTTAATTTTGAACCCTTTTGACCTCAATATGAACCAATTTGATAGCGGAGCCCACAAATAAAAAATCTAAATACATGGTTAGATTCAGCATATCAAAGAACCCCATATATTCAATTTTTGTTGAAATAAAAAAAAATTTAATTTTGGACCCCAACTTGGACCAACTTGAAAACTGGGCCCATAATCAAAAATCTAAACACATGTTTAGATTCAGCATATCAAAGAACCCCAAGAATTCAATTTTTGTTAAAATCAAACTAAGTTTAATTTTGGACCCTTTGGACCTTAATGTAGAGAAATTTAAAAAACAGGACCCAAAATTGAAAATCTAAATATACGGTTAGATTTGGCATATCAAAGAACTCCAATAATTCAATTTTTGATGAAATCAAACGAAGATTAATTTTGGACCCTTTTGACCTCAATATGAACCAATTTGATAGCGGGGTCCACAAATAAAAAATCTAAATACATGGTTAGATTCAGCATATCAAAGAACCCCATATATTCAATTTTTGTTGAAATCAAACAAAGTTTAATTTTGGACCCCAATTTTGACCAACTTGAAAACTGGGCCAAAAATCAAAAATCTAAATACATGTTTAGATTCAGCATATCAAAGAACCCCATATATTCAATTTTTGTTAAAATCAAACAAAGTTTAATTTTGGACCCTTTGGACCTTAATGTAGACCAATTTGAAAACTGGACCCAAAATTAAATCTAAGTACACGGTTAGATTCGGCATAACAAATAAATAAATGTGGTCAAAGATTTTACAAATCTAATGCGCCATACTGTGCAATTAAAGATTACTTCTTGAAATTTTTCAATATTTGAAATTTGAAAAAAAAATAATATTAGAAGAATAATTCTTTTTAATTTCTGAAATCTGAAATGAGAAAAAATTGACCCCCCACAATTTCTTTTTACCCCCCCCCCCCCCCTTTTTTACCCCAAAAAAATTCTTTCCCTCAATATATGGTCATAATCTCAATTCAAATTTCCAATGGATTTTGCTACCATAATTACCCATTTAAATTTACCATAGTGCTAACTTAATCTATTTTATAATAGAATTTAAAATATAGTGTCAAATCTTTCATTTGGATTTTTTTGTAAAAAAAAAAAGATGCAACATTTGCAGATATTTTTACGGGTCTTCCTTTATAAATATGCATTTCTTTAAACATAATTTAAAAGCAGTGTAAGGGAAGTAACCAAAACGTTGTATTTGGATTACCTCCCTTACACTGTTTTAAATTGTCCTAATTGTTCATTAACCATTACTTTATACATAATTTAAAAGCAGTGTAAGGGAGATAATTTCAATGATGTATTTGATTTATCTCCCTTACACTGCTTTAAATTATGTTTAGTACTAAAGTATTTGTCCATTAACCAGGGCAACCTTGTTTTTCCCCCTTTTTTGCCCCTAATTCCTAAACGGTTTGAGCCATAACTCCCCAAAGCAAATCCTAACCATCCCTTTGTGGTATGGAAACTTGTAGTATAATTTCAGAGAGATCCATACACTGTTCCACAGTTATTGTCTGGAAACTAGAAAATGCTTATTTTTGGCCCCTAATTCCTTAACTGTTGGTACCATAACCCCCAAAACCTTCCTTTTGTGGTATTTAACCTTATGGTAAAATTTCAAAGAGATCCATTCACTTAAACTAAAGTTAGAGTGCGAAAACCAATGTGTCTTCGGACGACGACGACGACGACGACGACGACGCCAACATCATACCAATATACGACCGCAAAAATTTTTTGCGGTCGTATAAAAACTGCAAAATTTCCTTAAAATTACCAATTTAGTGGCAGCAACCCAACCATGGGTTATTAAATTCATCTGAAAATTTCAGGGCTGATAGAACTTTACCTTATGAACACTTTTACCCTATGTCAGATTTGCTCAAACTGCTTTGGTTTTTGAGATATAAGCCAAAAACTGCATTTTAACCCTTTGTTCAATTTTTAGCCATTGCGGCCATGTTTTTTGACGAAACGGAAAATAAAACACAAACTTTATTCTAGATACCCTAAGGATCATTCAGCAGAAGTTTGCTTAGAATTGGTTCAGTGGTTTCAGAGGAGAAGATGTTTGAAATAGTTTACACCAGATGGACGCCAAGTGATGGCTAAAGCTAACTGTTCCTTTGGAACGGTGAGCTAAAAAGGCAGAATACAAGGTATGAAGAATCCATGTTTCTACCTTCTGAAAAATTATGTTTATGCTGCCAGATAGTAATCCCTATGTCTCGCATTCTACTACTTTTGTCCCAGGCAAGACAACAACCAACTCAAATTAAATCAATTGAAATCTTGTGTATAACTGGTATTCACGTTAACTTTTCCAAGTCAATTGTTTACAGTATTTTGAATGTTTTGAGTTGTGTCAACAGAAGCTAACGTCCTAATTTTTAACAGTGACAAAATTACAGTGTACTAATATCAAGAGCTTATTTACACAAAAAGATCTTTATCTTGTATGGTTGAGATTGGCATCCTTGTCAAAGCAGTAAAACAAGCCCTATTTCAATTGATATTATCACAAGCTTAATAAATTGCATCGCTGAGCGCTGCTGGATACCACCGCAGAGGTCCAACCCTGAACAGTTGGGGCAAAAATGGACACAATATTCACGCTTGATACAGGTCAGAATTTGGATTGGAATTAAAGATCAAACTGTAGTCAAAGAACTTAGAATTGGTAATATGATTTGAATTTATATTCAATTTATGCTTTTGTGCAATACACTTTGCTGTTGCGTATTGGCCCCACCACCCCCATCTATTTTTTGCCAAAAAAAATAATATTTGAAGAAATTTTTTTCTTTAAATTTCTGAAATGTGAAATGAGAAAAAAATTGTCCCCCCTCCCCCCAAAAAAATTTTGTTTTTCAATTCCCCCCTTTCCCTTTTTCCAAAAAAAATCTTTCCCTCAAGATAAGGTCATAATCTCAATTCAAATTTCTAATGGAGTTTGCAACCGTAATTACCCATTAAAATACATCATAAAAGTCTTAAAATAGAAAATGACATACATATTCAAGGCTAAAATTAATATTAATTACTGTAACATTTAAAAATAAATTGACAGCTAATCACCTCAAGACAATTCAGCATTTATTATACATAATTTACAAGCAGTGTAAGGGAGGTAATCCAAAACATACACAACATTGTATATTAAATGTGATTGGATTACCTCCCTTACACTGCTTTAAAATTGTCCATTAACTAGGAAACCCTTGTTTTTCCACTTTTTTTTGCCCCCAATTCCTAAATGGTTTGAGCCATAACCCCCCAAAGTCAATCCTAACCATCCCTTTGTGGTATTGAAACTTGTGGTATAATTTCAGAGAGATTCATACACTTAAACACAAGTTATTGTCTGGAAACTACAAAAATGCTTATTTGGGCCCCTTTTTTTGCCCCTAATTCCTAAACTGTTGGGACCATAATCCCCAAAATCAATCCCGATCTTCCTTTTGTGGTTATAAACCTTGTGTTTAAATTTCATAGATATCTATTTACTTATACTAAAGTTATTGTCCCAAAACCAACTGTCTTCGGACGACGACGACGACGACGTGATACCAATATATGACCACAAATTTGTTTGCGGTTGTATAAAAAGGGCATTAATCCAATACTGGATGCAATGTTACTGTCCATGCTGTATTGATTGTTTTTGCTTGTATAATGTCCAATCAATTGTTTCATGCATATTCAGGAAGAGAAACAACTAACACTTAATACAATTTGTAGGTCCAGCAAGGTAGGAAATTTGGACAGCCAATTGAAAATAAATGGGGAATGTGTCCATTGGACACGGATGATGTCCCCTCTTGCATTTCAAATAAATTTATAAAGGGACATAACTAAAGAACCATAAAAGTGACGATACCCAAATTTGTACTTGATCTGAGTTTTGTGGTAATAAGCATTGTGTATAAGTGTCATAACATTTGGTTGAGGCTAACTTAAGTTAGAGAACAGAAAAGAAAAATTCTGCAATTTTTCCATTTGTAAAGGGCATTACTCTAGAACGGTTAAAGTGTCGCCACCAAAATTCAAACTTGATCTGTGTTTTGTGGTAATAAGCATTGTGTATAAGTTTCATAACATTTGGTTGAGGCAAAATAAAGTAAGAGAACGGAAACCAACTTTTGGACGTACATACGTATGTACAGACGGACAAGGGTAAAACTTAATGCCCCCTCAGCTACAGCGAGGGCATAAAAATGGAATGGAATATTGGATAGGGATCTAAATTTTTGCCTGGCAACAGGCCACTTAGGACCCTTTCATTTTGTATGTTCATGGCCAAAAAAAATAGACACATATTAAAATATTTATTACAAAGATTTTATTTCCTTGAGATTTTAACACAATATACAAAAGACATATTTAATCCTAAATGCAACAGGAGTATTTCCAAATGTGTTTCCTTTAGGAATGTAATAATGACAACATATAAAGTGGTGATTAACCATCATGAACCTCCTGAAGTATCGCGTTATTGCTACACAAATTTTGGTTCTTCGTTTAAATTTCTTTATAAAAGAAATAAGGCAAGACAAGTTATGATTTTATCTTTAACTTTAATTTAGCATGGAAAAGATGATTTTAGTCAAAATATTGCAATAAATAAATATTTATTTTGCAGGTTTTTTTGTGTTGACTAGCATTTATCTGGCAAAACAAGAATAATCAAACTGGTCATTCACTGATTTCTTTAAAATGAAATCTCATATGTTCTTATTTCAGAAAGCCAAGATCTCCATTGATTGAATAAAATAATCCTTCGATAACAAAATGTGAGTAGCAATAAAATGTTGTCTGCATGAAATTAAGCATAAATACTGACCAAGAGTTCAATGCCATTTAGTAAGTTTGTGAAAAGTACAAATATATAGTTTTAAGTTGTGGTAGTAGTGACCTCATAATCTGTACTAGGAATTTTTAATATTTGTTTCTACTAATTTTTTCTGATATGTGGTAGATATAAATTTTTCTTTTCATTTCTTCTTTCAGTTTTTTTTCTGATATGTGAAAGACACAAATACTTTCAATATACTATTTTTTATTTATTAAGAAAACAGGTATATGAGGTCACTTGGTGATGTAAAATGGAATCAAATGGGTAATACTGCAAAATTAAAAGCACTTCCACACACCAAACATAAAAAGCATGCACAACTCAGATCGTAATAAATATGTGTTTAACACAAAACATACAACAATATACAATAATTCCCTGCTTTGGTTGATTATTTATGAGCTTTGATTCATGATCTATTTATCTCATAAAAAATTATTTGCGATGTTTTTCATGATACTTTGTTGTTAAAACATACCGCACATATCCACAGAGAATGATTTAATGAAAACTCTCCATAAAAACTTGGTGCTAATTATCAATTTTCCCTTCAAAGAACTTATATTTTATCAGACGTTGGCCCCGTACATAATAAAACTGAAAAAATTACCAATCAAGCGAAGCAACAATAATATACACACTATATAATACAAGCTATTGGTCAATCTTCTAAAAAGGCTCAATTCTCAAAAGCAGATCAAATATTTACTTAAACAAGGCCAATATATACAATATTGTTTGATTTTACTATTTTCACAAGATAATCTGACAGAACTGATCAGCATCATTAATGAATTCAATCACAAGAATCTGCAGATTGATTTATTTCACTCTATATAACCCTTTTGAAACAAGAGACCCACTCATAATATGTAGGCATGCTTAGAAAATGCAATGGTTAGCAAAGTACTATGTTTTCCTTTAAAAAAATGAATTAACAGTATTTTCATGTTTGCCTTCAACAACATCTTAAAAGCATGTTCTTGTATTATCATGAAAAGGTCTATTAGGTATTTTTTCTCCTTTTGCTTTTCAAATAAAAATTCAGATTATGGTGTTTTTTTATCAATTATGTATTTTCCCAAATAAAAATTGTAAAAAATAAAAAAAGTTTTTGTATAAATTAACAGCAAGATTTTTTCCTGGCTCCAAAATGCAAAGTATCTGAAAGTTGGGCTTATAAAAGGATTATGGTTGGACAAAATATATCTTCCATCTGTATAGGAGAATCACTTTCCTGAATGAGTTAAGGAATTGCTGTATTTTGGACATACTTTGCTAATGCCAGATAAAACTTCAATCTCTTAAAATAACTTTGTTGTAAACAGAATTAAGCCTTTTTAAAAATAATTTACACCAATACAAACACATGGTTATACTGTAGTTACTTGACAACCAAATTTTAATCACTTCAAACCAACATAATTAAATTCACTTTTTTTTTAACTTTTAAATATAAAGGAACACCCTCATATGCTGATATATAGATATTACAAACAAATCCCAATCGGTCGGATAAGTTAATAGATCACTTATTCAGTTTTTGTACAAAGCTATTGTTCAAACTAAGATGCTCTTCATATTGACAAATTATAGACATAGTCAAAACTAAACATATTTCATATCAATATATGCATATTTAATTATTTTCATTATCGTAATTATTCACATATGTTAACCATACAACTAAGTTTAAATCACATGAATCTAACCAGTTTGTAATGCATGTATTAATCAGTAAATATAACTCAGATATAAAACAGCTCAATAAATTGACATTGATATACCCCAAAAGGTTCAATTTGGTAATAGAAAATTATTAAAATTTATTTTTGTCAGAAACCGTGAAATAGCACAAGAATGAATAGATTAACATGATATCCTTGTGACGAGGGATAGCTGCCCATAATGTGATAATGTGATTACATGAAACCTCTATGTACAATCTTTAGATGGTTAAAAACAACAAATGTGGACCTGCCACCCACAATAATAAATTTAAAGTTTTTTGGTAATTTTATTTTAATCTGGTGGTCCTAATGCTTTATATAACTGTTTCAGAGAAAAAAATAATTCCTGTATGTTTTATCAATGGCCTCATCTAAATGCTTACATCAATCAATAGTAATCGTATTTTTAGTTTAAATGAATTATGTAATTTACATTATTATCTTTCAAATGCTTAAATATTACAGGATAACAAGGAAATATATGCCAATAATATTAGTGTTAAAATTATCCAACAAACAGAATCTATAATACATAAAATTAAGGCAAATAAGTTTATGTAACAAAATTCAACTCTAATTTTCATGAATTAAAGCAAAAAATATTCCATAATAGGAAAAATGCTATCTCTCTCTTTTAAAAAAAAAACCCAAAGGAAACAAAGTTATGAAAAATTTCCCATAACCCCTAATGCTTCCAAAAATACAAAGATCAATCATTTGAGAGAGTAAGAATTATGTTAATACAAAATTAATACATCAATTTACATAGTAAAATTCATTATTACATAACAAAGTCCTGTAGAGGCAGTGTTAAAACTGAATTTCAATTTTACAAAGCTGCAATTTTCCTTTTGAAGTTTTAAGAAATGTCACCTCTTATACTTGATTTGTTATCAATTTCACCTTGATCTAAATTTTAAGGAAAAAGCTGGTATAAAAATACTTTTCTCCTCCTATCTTTACATGATCTCATATATTACCGTTATGTGAATCACCTGAAGGCTCTATTGGCTGGCAGACTTAAAATTTCTGATCAAATTGATCAAGATATCACATTTGTTATAATAATTTCACAAATATGTGATGAAATTTATAAAAAAATTGAGACCAAATAAATTACATAAATAGATTCTTAAAAATTTCTGTACAATTGATTCAGTATGATACAAAAATGTGAAAAACGTGACTGTTATGAATCAAATTTGGCTAATGACATTGTTAGTGTTGTTATCTATAGGCACTATCTATGGCTAACTGGACCATTGGCAGTCCTACCACTTGGAAATGGTAACGACATTTCAAAATCCACAAGCAATGAGAAATGATCTGATGGAATATGTGGATGTGGACAGCCTACAACTTTGTTCTGACGAAACCATCCCTCATCTAGTGGACCAAGTAATCCCAGTAGATTGAAGTGTTCCCGTGAATAGAAAACATAGTCAATGACACCTTTGAAGTCGTACCTGGAAAACAAATGAATTATATTAAATAATAGAACATCATCATATTATATTTACTGATATCATTAATACATCTACAGAAAACAAACATAATTCTGCTAATGTTTCACAATAAGTATTAATTAATAGTTTCATTTATTCTTATTCACCTCTTTTAGCTTTGACCCCTAAATGACCAGAGTTCAGTTCTAACGATAACAATGATTAATGATAATAATTCTAAATGTTTCATAATTATTATTTAATAAATATTTAATAACTGAATAGTCATATTTTTCACCTACATATGACCAGGCCTCATATATTTACATAAGATTCTAATACATTAGGAAAAATCAAATTAGCAGAGGGAAAAGGAAAAATATCCAAATAACCTATAACTTAAGAAACAAATAGCAATTTGTATGTGATTGTCTTATCAACAATCATTCTTAAAAATATAAATGTCAAAGTTATTTGACATATCTATAATTTCACAATAAAACAAATAAGGAAGTGTATTGTTTGTTTGTTTGTTTTTTTATATCATAAAAGGCATTTGACTTATAAAATTAATGACTTATACTGCTTTCCTATGAAACTACAATGTCTCATATTTTAGCACATATTTGATTGTGAACTGTTGATATTCAATGCACAAACTTATTTTTCAGCCTCCTGAGGGAGATTACTGAAATCTATATCCTATGTTTATATCACAAAGAAAAACATTATCAAACAATAAATCTTTATGAAAAATTACAAAGTTGATTTTATAGATTTCCATATTTCATATATATCTTGCCTTCTGAATGAAGGTTATTAGCCTCTATTGCTATCCTATTGATATTATTAATAGCAAAAAAAGGGCCAAATCAATGTCTGTTAATAAATTTTGGTATGGTTTTTTTTCATTTTCAGATGTGCAATACTTACGTGTAGTTTGTAAAAGGCATGATATCGTCGTAAGCTTTGGATAGGCGGAAATCATGAGAAAGAATTTCTTTTTCATTTTTCACACATATTCGGTGAAGAATTTCTTCATAGCTGATTTCTTTGAAATCTTCATGATTGCTTGCAACTTTTCCAGAAACAAGATATTCCACTACACCTGTAAAATACAATGTATGTATAATTTTAATGAAATTGATAATAAAATACTTGAATCCACATATGTTTTAATCAGATTTTAATCATTTGGTACATGTACTGAAATTAAGCCACATATTCTGCAATAAAAATTCACAAATATCTATAAGTCAATGATAAAAGAGGTGAAGCAAGTGAAATTTAGAATTTTTTTAAGATGTCTTATTGCTTTTATGACTAAGATCTTTATAATGCAATTCCATTTCAAATAAGGGTGAAAAAATGTCTCATTCAAAAGTTTGACAATGGTATTTGTTTTCAGATACGACACTATTAATGCATGCTATTATTCTGTTATTGATATGAAGGTATTGAAATGAAGTCAGCATTGTTTATGTGTGTCAATCAGACAAAATCATGCCCAATAGCCATTTCCGTAACAATTAGTTAAATACAAACAATTACTCAAAACTGTATCCTTTACAAAGAATTGCAAGGAGCACTGAATAGTTTTCCTATATCATTTTTAAATAAGAAGTTACACCAACATGACCCAAGAGTGCTTGATACACCATTCTTGTGAATATTAAAATTGTTGCCAGAATAAAATGGAATATACAGAAGGCATCTTATAGGTTAGAACGGTTCTGTAGAAAAAAATTTGGATAAGGATAATGTAACCCTAATAATCCAGTAGTTATATTCCAATATCTACGATCACTCGAGAAATGGTAGTGGATAGAGGGCGCTGAATTATTCGAGTTAAGGATAATGTTCAATTTTCATGAATAAAGTTCCTTAACTCTAGAATGACACCAGTGAAAATCATAAAAATTAAAAGGGAGATTAATTTCATCGTCTAGGCCTGTGATAAAATTTCAGGAAAAAGTATCACAGCAAAATTGATTGTACAACATTTGAGAAAATTAAAAAATGTTCATGAATAAATTCCAATAACTCTGGAATGACCATATTTGCAATCATCAAAATTGAAAAAGCTTTCTTCCATCAATTTCATGTGAATTGATTAAAATAAATTTAAGTTATCATACAAAGTGTGGACATACTGACAGAATGACAGATGGACTAATGTTTACCATAAAATTTCCAGTCTTAGGCTTATAAAAATAATTCAATGCTTACAAATAGTTTGCATAAAATATTTAAAAATCAGATAAATATGTGTCAGTTTTGTTACCTAGGTTCAATATTTTATTATGTAAAGGTTCATATCAATACTATTTAAGAGCATGTACATGTATTTGTAGTGTCAATAACCTGTAAAAAATCTATTACAAGTACCAGTGGTTTTATATTGCATATAATTTGAAGGACAAATTTAAATATTTGTGGTAAAATGACAATGGCATAGAAATTTAATACAAATGACCCACAAACCGGATTTGTACGATACACCATAATATCTGTTTTAACTTATATTATACATGATTCAAAATCTATTTAAAGTGATTTTACACTCAAATATTATAAAAAAAAATCAAGAATTTTGAACACAATCCATGGAATCTATTTAAAACTGTGTACCTAAATAAGAATTTAATTAAAGCACCTTAATCATTCAAACCTCTATCTACAAGGCAGTTGGTTAGCATTATAATAACAAAGTTGTCCTAAAGAAGAGGCTTCACCAAAGCAAACATTTTTGGCATCCAAGGAGTTGATAACATAATGTGGATGAATTTGTATACTTAATTAATCTTTGTATTTTATATATATACCTGAGTCAGGGAGAGAGTTGAGATCACCACACATGATGAGTGGTATGGTATTAACATCTGAGGTTCCCAGTTTGTAGCTTTGGATTGTTTCTTCGGTTATTTTCTTCAGTTCATTGACTAACATCATTGTCTGTATAAGTTTCACATCTGAAAATTCTGGATCCCAGTGAATATGAGCAGTTGATATCATTACAGGTTGACGGACTTGACTTTCTTGAGGTGGTACTGCAATGAAGACAAATAGATTAAAATGGCAGATCTTATAAATTTTAAAACAAACAATAAGAAAATCAATGAAGTGAATCCAGTTTTGAGTGAAACAGGTGCAATAGCTTATTACCCATGTTGACAGAGGCTGCATAGGTGTAAAGCATAAAATTTCCTTCAAATTTGTATATCTGATTACCAATAAGGATCATGAAAAAATTACAGACTTTGTCCTCTTTCACAGGTAACACCGGCTTCATATTATAATCTCTTCATATCTTATGTATATCTTGACAAGTTTACTGGACCTATGTTAATTTGTTACATCTTAAAAGGAGAACTTTGTATTGCTGAGAAATGATTCTACTTTAAAGAATCTAGTCAACTATGTAATAAGTTAACATATGCTATAATGCAATACAATGTAACCTGCTAAAATGATGCAGCCAGCCTACCTCAAACATCACTTTTATGATGTTGAAAGCTTGGTAAATGTTTTAATGTAGGAAGAAGTCTAATATGTAGTAAACTATGAAAATCCATTCCATTCAATGTATTGTATAGAAACACTAGTAATTTACTCAAACAGGCTCATTTGATAACGAGATGAAGATATCAACCTTTATTTATACAATAGAACAAAACATAATTGAATTGAAAGAAACAAACATTTAAGAGTTCTATACATAATTTGTGAAGCGTATGGACTGATTTATAATAATGTTGAAGAAACATTGTAATACTTCAATGAATTAAACAAAAGTTGGATGGCAATGAGAATATTAGCAGTGCTATAAATATGAAATTGTCATTAGTGCTCATCCCATTGGTATAATTAATTTTCAATGACATTGTTCCTTCACAATAACTTCTTCAGCTATTTAAATCATGATGAGGACTTCACATCAATATTTATTTTCTTCATAACAAACAGCGGAAGACAAACAAAAGATACAATTGTTTTGTTAATCAATATACCTCGTAGTGAGCTCATGAATATGTTGATTCACATTTCATCAATATTTAATCATTGAAAATGCTTCATGATCATAGAAATTGTGTGCCACATGACCTAGTTTTTCATCCATTGGTTTTTCCGTATTCTCTTGAGTAAAACAGATAATTTGCCTTTTCAATTTATTATTTTTTAATGATATATTTGGTTTACCTTATGCCTTTTAATGGAAAAGTATAAATATTCAAAGTTTCTAATTAAAAGGTAATTCAATAAAGATACAGGTTTTGTATTACACAAGTTTCTACTATCATAACATCAAGTTGTTTATCTATCATCAACAATACAACAGGAAACATATTTGGAATCAAAGAAAACATTATATTTTTTATTCTTTTTCATTTTAAGAGGTGCATTCTAGGAAATGAATACCTTATCAGTGTTTAAACAGTTTTTCATTAGATCGACCACTCAGACACACCAACTGGAGCAACATAGTCTGTCAAGTTTCATTCTATTCCAATTGCAACAAAAAAGTTGCAGAAAAACTGTTGCCATTTGTAGAAATAAAGTGAAATAGTCACAACCTTCAATTGTAATAAAATTTTCCAATACCAGACCAATGACTTACAGGATAAAGATAACTGTCACCTTGTTTAAGATTGATTGATTGTTGATAGTTAACACCACTTTCAGCACTCTTGGCTTTATCATGGCAGTCAGATTGGTGGAGAAAGCTGGAGTACCCAAGAGAACCAAGACCATCTGCAGGAAAACTGACAATCCTAGTCATTTAAGATCAGAGTAGAAAGCACCTTGCCATAAGCTGGGTTTAAACTCACAACTTCAGTGTTAATAGGCTAGAGATCACTGCAGATGAACTATCTAGACCACTCTGCCACCATGACACTCCAAGGTTATGTTTATACAGTATGCTTCTCACAACAATGTGTTTTTTTTCCTTCTATAGCATTCAGCATCATTTTTGAGTCAAGTAATAAATAAACTACTGTTGACCTGTTGTCCAATACTACAGAGGCCGTGGTATTTATACATTAATAATACACGTATATAGAAGTTCTTAACATGTTTGTTCCTGTCCTAAATATTATATTCATTTCTAATGTCATTTTAAGAAAGCATGACATATGACTGAATATTGCCTTACATCTCAACAGAACTTATTATCTTAGAATCGTGACACGACTTAAATAGTTTATGGCATAATCATATACTTTCATTTGTATTTTGAGAAATAATATAATAAGGATGATGACATCTTCTCAAATTTCATACAGGCTGGTGTAACATCCAAGGAAAATAGTTGGTTTAATGTCACAAAAGGTTACAGAGGTTGACAGGTATTTGTGTTCTGTCTGCCTGCTTTGTAGCCTAGTTTACAGAGGTTATTTGTTACATTATCATATTACTTAACACACTGGGGAGTGAACATTACCTTTAAGTACTTTTCTCTATACTTTAGCTGATAAACACTTCTGTATCTTCAGAGGAGATATAAGGTATAATATTGGATGCAGTGTTGTACTCAAAAAGAAGAATAGGGAAATACTGATAAATTACTATAGTTTATGATTGATTTTTGGTGTTTAACACCTCTTTCAGCACTAATGGCCAGTTGAAGCGACTGTTTTTGCCATGTGCAGGGTTCAAACACACAACCTCAGTGTTGACAGGCTAGTGATACAGTAGATTAATTACTTAGACCACTTGGCCAACAGGGCTCCCTTCAACTTTATGAGTAATTGACTGAACTGCATATCTTGTCATCATTCAAGAAAGAAATATAGGACATAGTGACCCAAAAATGCTAAATAGTAGTGTATTATAGAAGTAGACTGTTTTAGATATATAATTTTGATGTTTCTAAAAATTTGAACCTAAATAAAAAACTTAACCAAAATGTACTCAGCATATAAATATATCAAAGTAATAAGTATTTTTGTTTTTACATTAAAGCTGCATGAAAAATGGTTAAAAATCTGAGGAATATTTTGTTCTCCAGAAGAATTTAATATGGATTGATACATTGACAGCATGGGATCTTATTTCATTAATATCAAACTAGTGAGTGTTGCAACACGTCAAAATGTCAATAAGTAAACTCTACTTTAACGCCCAGTGTTATAGACTATGTGGGTTTTTAATCAGAGATACAAACTGTCACACTGAGCAGAACTAGGGGATATTAGCTGCTGTAATATGAGATTTAAAATTACCATTCTCATAAGCTCCTTCCTTTGTTTCTAACAGTGCTGCCATGCCGATGTTATCCTTCGTCATTACACGATTCAGCATGTCATCGGAACCTTCAGCGTTTGCCATTGCCAACTTGTTAAATTCTATCAAATGTTCTTTAATCAGTGTAAATCTGCAAAGAAATGTCAGAGCGGTTAATTTGGTGCCAATCTATTTTTTTTACAAACTCACATTCAATGAAAACCAGATCCAACCTAGTAAACACCTCCAGTGAACATAATAATTTATTACAAAGAAATCTTTCTTTTCATTATTATAACATTTTTTGTTTAAAAGTGTGCTTCATGAGTACTAATGCATTGATGAAAGTACAGAAGGATTAAAAAACAGAAATCAGAAAATCTTAAATTCTGTAAAGGAATATGTAGGTGCCAATATGTCAAATTCCAAAAAATCCAGCAAATTCCTGAAAATTTCGTATCTGCTTATGTATTTATATAAAATTCATTAAAAGTGGTGGTCCTAAGGTTTTGACCACCAAAATTTTGCAAAGGACCAACACAATTTTGGTATTTTGCAAAGAAAATAATAGTGAGGACCAGCAGATTTTCTTCAAGGACCACTTGGTAAAAGGTTTTGAGATTTCTGTTTTTATAAGCTATAATCAATTTTCGGCTATCAGCGTTCAAGATGGAAATGAAAATAATACAGAAACCGAGAAATTTTGGTATGTTTGGCTTGAATCAATATCATAATTCAAAGTGATTTACCAAAAAATCACGGAAATCCTATTAAGTAATTGTAATGAAGAAAGACACTAGTATGTTAATACATTTTCAGATGACTTTTGTGATAAAAGTAATGTTTTAGTATGACATTTCATACCTAAAAAAGTTAACGCCTTTTTAAACTTTGATAAATCCTGTTTTAACATTAACATAAATTACAAATATTCTTACTTCTGAAAACAAATTGTGTTCCTGACTAACAATATTTCATTTCATATAAGTTAGTCTTATCATCCAATTAATGAATTCAGCATGTAATGGATTAAAATAAGAAGTGCTATGTAAGGAAATCTAATTTGCCATGCTTATAAAATTCACATGCAAAGTTATTTTGTTTTTCTTCAATCTCATTTCAAAACCTCATTAACTTGCATAATCTCATTTGGAATCAGATAGACCAACATACCAATTTATAATAGGTTTCTGACAATTCCTTTACAAAATTTGGCTGCAATTTAATTTGGATTATATTTCAATTATGTGAAATATTGGAAGGGTACATATATTACTAGATCCAATTCTTTCCTATAATTGTTATATCCATTTGTATAATGGTGATTACAGAGAAAATGCAGTTTTCCAATTTCTCAGATTCTATAAAAACAATACTAGACACACTTGACTGATAGTATGTAACAGTTTTAAATTAAAAGATGTAAAAATCCTATTTGTCTTGTCAAAATCAGTAATGAAAATTGTAATTACTTTTGCAATTTTTGATTTCAATTAAATAGCATACAAACACTGATAGCATGGCATTTCCTTTATATTTGACAATTAACTCTACAGGTAAAGTTGTGGTTTTTAATGCCTAGTACGGTCGAGCATGCCGATGAGAGCGGACGTGAAAATTTTTGCAGAGAGAATCCTTCAACATCATTGAAATTGTTTTGTCAAATTGGTTTCATGGATAAATATTATTATCCTTACATCGTATATTTTATGTTTTGGATTATATTTTTTTTTTAGGAAAGTTTCTGCAGATATTTTCAGGTTTGTTTGAGTCATGTGGTCAGATGGAATCCATTAGTAGTTTCCATGTGGGAAACTAACAGACCAATCTATTTGATGTCCGAGGGTTTCAGCTGTTCCCCTAATGGATCGGTAGTTTCTTTCCGAGATCCTTTATCTTAGGATTTTCGGCTTTCCTCTACCAGGAAAACAGCTGGGCATTTAGCGGTATCGGTTTGGAATCCAAGTATGTCCTTACCGGTTTCCTGTTCGTTGCCTTGGCATTTGAGTGGCATCCGGGGTGACCTTATCCTTTATTTTGTATACAATTATTATATTTTGCATTTTTTTATATTTTTGAGGATGAGCGAATCAGGTGAGTGGGTGTGTTCGTATGTCTTATAATTTGCATTGTACTTATTGTTTTTGGGGAAGGTTAACTTTCTGGTAGTAAGACCCGTCACGGCCAGGCTGGGAAACTGGGTAGGCAAATGCTCACATTAAATCTGTACCGATACAGTGTGTTAAATGTCGTCCTTTACACCATAACCCATGGTGGTGCTCCTACTAAAGGAGGAAGATACAGAACATACATACAATGCCTGTTATTTGAGGCTTATTTTTATTTAATGTATACCCTTATCATGTATTTCTTTTTAAGCTGGGTTGATGTCTTATAAATGTATACCCTCTTTTGAAGTCTTTATCATAGGGAGTCTATGTCTCATAAGGTGAATACTTGTTTATTATGTCTATTATTTATACAATGTCATGACTGAATGGCAGAAAAAGGAAACACTATATGTCCCAGTAAAAGATAAGTGACGGCATAAAAAGGAACACGAGGAAAAATATCAATCAGACAACTAACCACTAAAGCCAAAACGACAAGAAAAGAACATCTTCATATCACTGTACAATAATGAGCATATAAAAATATTGTACAATAAGAAAAGGAACAGTTTTTCTCTATTTCATAATGATATAGGTTTTCTCTCATATGTTCCTATCACTCTGACTGTCCAATTCTTGCCACAACACTCAAAAGTCAGACCTGTACATTTCAGTATAACTTACGATCAATTTTAATCATAATATTTTCTATGAAAAGAACCACTGGATCCTGTATAAGAGTATTTGCTAAAAATCCATAGTCTCAGCTGGATTACTTTAATATGTTCATGTTTACATCAAACATAAATCACTGGTACTTATATAAAACATACTTGTTAGTTCTATAGAATATGGCACATCCATCAACGTGTTTTCTCTCAGATTCTGTCATGGTTCTGGCTCTGGACTTAGCTGAGAATATTCCATCATATCCAATGGCCTTGAGATCTGGAAGGAAGAAGTTGTAAAACTGATCTGTCTCTACTTCCTGAAAAAAAAGCATAATATTAGACTTCATAACTGTACAGCAGTTTGTACTGAAACAGACAAACAAAATACTGAGTAAATATAAAAAAAGGAGAATTGGTATGATTGCTAATGAGACAACTCTCCACCAAAGTTCAAATCAAGTAGATGTAAGCAATTATATGCAACAGTCCAGCTTCAACAATTAGAAAAACCCATACATTATAGTCGGCTATAAAAGACCCCAACATGAAAAATATGAAACAATTCAATTGAGAAAAGTAACAGCCTAATTCATAACAAAGCAATTTTCAAAAAAAAAATATGACAGACATGAACCAATGACAACCACTGAACTACAGGCTCCTGACTTGAGACAGGCACATAAAGAATATGCTGGTTAAATATGTTTGAAGGCACCATTTTTCAAACTTATTTATATAAATGTTTCAGCTGAACCAGACAGCTGACATAATCTGCATTTTAATAGTGCCCGTTCACATCTTATTTGCATATGTTATTCACAGATTTTCTATGCTCAAGGTGATTTAGAGCTAGACATAGTTTAAGGACAATTGCCTATTGTTGAAGACCATACATAACCTCAACATGTCTTCTGATTTTGTGTTGTTAAGTTTCTGTCTCATTGATGTATAATCCATATCTCCTTTTACTCATATTAAACTATTTAAACAAGGATTGAAGAGAGACACAGTATCTAAGCACATGATTGCATATCAGAACTAATTTTGTTGTCCATATATAAAATGTTTCTTTAGCATTTACACCCATTAATAAAGCTACGTTCGCTAAAATCGTTATGGAATCAACCTTTTCCTGACCTATCTGGAACATCTGCTTTAAACATATACATGTAACATTGTAGTGAAAAAAATCACATTTGCCCAAATACAGAATAGGTTAGGTGTCAAATCAGTGTGAATGAAATGGGTTAACATGTTCTAATGACATATTTATTTATTTTATAATGCATTTATTTATCTGTAATTGCTTTTTTTTAGAAATCCACTCATGGTAGGGAGTTTTTAATTTTTTGCTATAAAATCCAATTCAGACAATTTTGACTGTTTATTCCATGAAAAAAAAACTCACTTTATTAAAACAAAAGGGGAAGAAGTGGGATCAATAAGGATTTTCTCTTTTTCTCCCTTGATTGTAAGTTCAGTATGAGATGAGTGATTCAATTTCCCACTCTAACACCACCCTCTGTATCTTTATATTGATATACAAGAACCCAATATAAAATTTGATTGTGTGTGTTTTCTGTCTGAAGGTTATGGGAAAACAACTAATTCTCTTATTGCGTGCATATACCTGGAAGTGACATGATATTTAACGACCATTTGTCTCACGATATTGCATGTACATTAACAACTAAATAAGTTAATGATCTATTACAGCAGAAAGTTAAATATACATCTAATACAATGTGTGATTCTCTGTCATGAGAATGGAGTAGGAAAAGTCATGCCATGCCATATGTAATCACATTTCTAATTATGTCAAAAATAACTTAAAAATGTACATGTTGAGCATTAAGGTCCTAATTAAGTCATCATTTCCCTCAAAGAATAAAAAATATTGACATGAACATTAATCCAAACTCTGCTGCTTAACCTAAAAGTACATGTGGGCCTTGAAATTGTTGAATGTTTGTAAAACATCTTTTATTAATTTATAATATAAACTTGCCATGACCTTTAATGAAGAATAATATCAAGGATAAAACTGACTTTGTTGAAAACTTTTGTCTCACTTAAATAATTTTCCTTTAATGAAACATTTTACTATAAAAATCTACTTTTACAATTTTTGTGATATTTTGATTTTCAATAACATTCAATCATTAGAATGATTGAACATGTGTGACCTACTACAAGTTTTATACAGTAACAGCTTGCCGATGTTTTACAAGAAAAACATTATATATACTTACTTAAAATAGTAGCAAATAGTATGAAGTTTATAGGGTTCATATGTATGATTTATAACAAAGAAAAAGGTTTCTATCAATTCTTTCATTACATATTCTCTTTCAGTTGTGGCCAGATAATTTTAGCCATATAAGAAATAGGTTAAACAACTCGTGAGAATAGATATCGGTTGATATCAACTCTCAATGTAAAATTTCAATAACAAGAATGTGTCCATAGTACATGGATGCCCCACTCGCACTATCATTTTCTATGTTCAGTGGACCGTGAAATTGGAATCAAAACTCTAATTTGGCATTAAAATTAGAAAGATCATATCATAGGGAACATGTGTACTAAGTTTCAAGTTGATTGGACTTCAACTTCATCAAAAACTACCTGGACCAAAGACTTTAACCTGAAGCGGGACAGACGGACGAACGGACAGACAGACGAACGAACGAATGCACATACCGAAAAACATAATGCCCCTCTACTATCGTAGGTGGGGCATAAAAATAATAAACTCGCCAAAGACTCGTTTATTATTATATTGAAATTAAATACTGGAGTTTAAAATTAGCAATATCCAATTCTCACTTCATTCCAAATATTGCAATTTCATTATAATATTAAATATTACAATAGTGTGCAAGTCATTTTTCCAAGTGTTTGAGTACATTTGTAAAAACAAATTATTCAAAATTCAAAGCCTAAGATCTAGCCTGTAATTATTTTATACTGCAAAAAAAAAAAAATTGCAAGTATCTATAATAGACCAAAACTTTAATATTAGACTCTATGCACACTTTATCTCTGAGGACAATTAATTTGCCTTTTACCAGAGGTCACCACTTTTTTTTGAACATGTTATTATATATTCATTACTAAGGAATATCTACCAGAGGTCACCATTGTCATAAAAACAGACTTTTAAATAATACTTATATTAACATACTGTTTCATTGTGTCTGTACTTATTTCATTATTCAAGTTTTTTAGCAGACATTTGAACACAATTCTAATTTGATATCCTCATGACAGTTAAGTTTAATTAATCATTAAATATAAAGAAATAAATTTAAATAAAGTGGGTTAACAAAGATGTCATCTGGCAATAGCTTTCTCATCAATATTCCTTTGTCTTTAAAGCATTAATTAATGGTCTATTAAATTTATAATATAAATCAACATGATTTTTCATATCTTAATGTCATTATGTCTGGTAAATCAATATTTGTTAGTTAAGTTTCTTTGTACTGAGTAATTTGTTATATCATTTTTGCCATTATTGATAAAGTAGCAATCATATCAATAAAGGCTATATACAGTATTTTATACCATTTAATTCCTTATAAAGTAAGTGACCACTAGGTCAACGAACCCCATACCCAAACTAGGTTACAATATATTTTCTTACAGACCCAGCTGTCTTAAGTTAAAAGTGATAAAGAACTTCAATTATGGTTTGTTATGAGAATAATCCAGATTTGTGTATAACACAAGTTCTTCCAGCACCAGGTCAAAGGGTTTGCCTAATAGTCACAAAATAGAAAGATATGTGTCGATTATACATTCTCTACATTAAAAATCTGAATTCTTTAATAAATATAAAACAGCTAACAAAGGTACAAATCACAAATATTTTTGCTCCACTTTTCCATTTTACCTGCTTTCCTCGTTTAGGAAATCATGCGACTTATCACCGTTAGTTATGAGCAAAACAACAGGTGCCCCTATTGAAACAACTACAACTTACCTTTCCATAGTACCTTAGTTTTGGTTGTACTAAGTCTTTACCTTTCCATAGTACCTTAGTTTTGGTTGTACTACTAAATCTTTACCTTTCCATAGTACCTTAGTTTTGGTTGTACTACTAAATCTTTACCTTTCCATAGTACCTTAGTTTTGGTTGTACTACTAAATCTTTACCTTTCCATAGTACCTTAGTTTTGGTTGTACTACTAAGTCTTTACCTTTCCATAGTACCTTAGTTTTGGTTGTACTACTAAATCTTTACCTTTCCATAGTACCTTAGTTTTGGTTGTACTACTAAGTCTTTACCTTTCCATAGTACCTTAGTTTTGGTTGTACTACTAAGTCTTTACCTTTCCATAGTACCTTAGTTTTGGTTGTACTACTAAATCTTTACCTTTCCATAGTACCTTAGTTTTGGTTGTACTACTAAGTCTTTACCTTTCCATAGTACCTTAGTTTTGGTTGTACTACTAAGTCTTTACCTTTCCATAGTACCTTAGTTTTGGTTGTACTACTAAATCTTTACCTTTCCATAGTACCTTAGTTTTGGTTGTACTATTAAATCTTTACCTTTCCATAGTACCTTAGTTTTGGTTGTACTACCAAATCTTTACCTTTCCATAGTACCTTAGTTTTGGTTGTACTACTAAGTCTTTACCTTTCCATAGTACCTTACTTTTGGTTGTACTACTAAATCTTTACCTTTCCATAGTACCTTAGTTTTGGTTGTACTACTAAGTCTTTACCTTTCCATAGTACCTTAGTTTTGGTTGTACTACTAAATCTTTAGTGTTTTGTTGACTCTTGTTTATGTTGCAATGGTGGTATAACATGGACTCTTTGGTATCCCCTAACTTTTTTTTATTATATTATCTATATTGTCAAAGGTAAAATAATGAAGGTGTAGTAAGTCTAGCTGTCTTTTTAAAGGTAAACCTTTGTTGTTGGGTTGCTTTGACATTGAAAAATTACCAATCTTTAGCATAAGATTTATAGTTACCAAAATAAACATAATCTTATTTAATATTATGTAATTATCTCCAAAGTTAAATGAATAAATATTCTGCTCATTTTTTGTGGTTTCCTGTATCTTTCAAGTTTAATTTATTATAAATTAGACATGATTTTCGGCATGCAAATATCTTTTTTTTTGTATAATCTGTCTTTCATTTCCTGATTTTCTAATTTTCTAAATGACAAAATAATCATGCTGTCTTTTACTCAATCAATGTGACACATTTTTTAGGTTCATCTTGAAAATAGCATTTTTAAATACTTGCATTCTAATTTCATTTTACAGATCTTTTTAATATGTCTTATTAAGCATATCCAAGTTACAAGTTTTAATTTTGCTTCCCATATCTTCCTCGTCTTTTAAAGACTACTAAATAAATCAATCTCATTGATCTTTATATGAAAACTATAAAATTTCTATTAAACAATGGAAACCTGTTGTATCAATTTATGTCATCTATCAAAAAAAATAATTTCAGTTAAAAGATATGAATTGCCTCAACAACTGTTGATCATAAGTATCTGTAACAGGTTGTTCATTTGTTCCCCTTTGTGTCTTTGTTCTCCGTTGTACATGTCTTCCTGATATAGATAATTATTATCCAACTCCAATTTATTTTATGAATAAACAAGATCAGGATGTTTTCAGCACATTAAGTCCTACTTATAATAAATATACTTATCCAGGAAGTCAGATCATTTACAGGATTTACCAAAATACTTTAAAGGGAATACATACATACAAACACTTGTACAAAAATGTAAATTTCATGTTTCAATAACTTTAAAAGGTTAGTCAAGTAACAAAAAAAAAAAAAAACTTTAAAAAAGTGTAATATACAGTCTTCACGATAAACTTTTGAATCTACAGGCCCGAAGCTGAATTTTACGAAAACTTTACAGTTACATTCTATTGGCTTGTAGGGATAATTTTTACAGCCCCAACAACATTTTTACAAGCACTGGCTGGTGGGCCTGCGGTTGAGCGTGAAGACTGAATATAATGGCAGCAAATGTTCAAATATAATGAGACTTCATAATGTACATATTATTTGTAATAAGTTTATTATTTATTGCAGAATAATATTACATCAAATTTTTTGTAAGCCTGATTATGTCGACAGAAAATTCTTTCTTGCATGTTTAACTGTATGATGAAATGACTTACAAAAACAGTATTAACCCAAAGTCCTACAGCCCAGGCCAGTAAAAATCTTGTTGGGCCAAGAAAACTTTTCAAGTTAATCCTTATATAGGAAATAAAATATGTGTATATAGAGTCTCTCTAAAAACTGAATTTTAATGTGCGTATTGTTATGCGTTTACTTTTCTACATTGGCTAGAGGTATAGGGGGAGGGTTGAGATCTCATAAACATGTTTAACCCCGCCGCATTTTTGCGCCTGTCCCAAGTCAGGAGCCTCTAGCCTTTGTTAAGTCTTGTATTATTTTTAATTTTAGTTTCTTGTGTACAATTTGGAGTTTAGTATGGCATTCATTATCACTGAACTAGTATATATATTTGTTTAGGGGCCAGCTGAAGGACGCCCCTGGGTGCGGGAATTTCTCGCTGCATTGAAGACCTGTTGGTGACCTTCTGCTGTTGTCTGTTCTATGGTCGGGTTGTTGTCTCTTTGACACATTCCCCATTTCCATTCTCAATTTTATCTCTATAAGCCTTGCAAATATTTGTATTTTTTAAATTGCCTTTAACATACATGATTTCTAAAACTGGTTCAAAAAGTGTTCATTTTTGACTTCCTAATAATAAGCTCTTATAAACATCAATTTTAACACTATTCACATTTATTGTAAGATGAAAGTTGGCAAAAATGAAATGGACACACATCAAAACCGATAACACTTCTTTAAAAAAAAATACAAATATATTTTTGAACAAGAAATGATAAACTTAAAAAAAAAAAAAAATATATATAAATTAAAACAATTTAAAATTTCACTAAAATTGTCCTGTCACCAGAAAGAAATGACTTTTACTATTCAACAAGCCTGAATCATGGATTAGCAAAATCACTTTTAAAATAAAATCAGATTATTTTTGATCACTTCTGTCAATTTGTCTTTTCAAACATAGCCATGCTTGAAAACAATGTTTCAACATGTGCTGTCTAAAAGTAGAAGCTTTTTGCCTCCATGAAGTCAAGTATAAAAACCACAGGTTTTAAATCTTCTTATCAATTTAATAAGGATTTATATAATAGTAATGCAAATGCACCTGGGTATCACAAATTTTTTATATATGTATTTATATAGTTCTTGTAATAAAAAATCAATTCTACATTATTTATCTTTCTTGAACCTGAAGAAGACTTTAAGATATCTGAGTAGAGAAAATTACAGGGATCACATGACGAGTACAAATCAATGATGATTAGAAGTATTGTTTTTATCATATCATTTTTTTCCTTAAGATTCTGAAGTTGTTATGGAAACATCTATATACTATATAATTTCAAGGAAAATGATCAAATCCCATTACCATGTCATATGGAATCTTAGTTGGGCCATTACTTCTTGTAACAGATAAAATTAAAAATCAAATATCAAAGAATTAAAAATGAAAAATGAAGAACTTAAATCTTTTAGGTTACAATAACATATCTTTAGAATAACATCAGAAATTCCATATATGATTAGGTTATTTCCTTATTGATCTTTATAATAAAAGGTATATTTATTTTGGTAATACCAATTTTGTAGGTGTATCTTTGTTAAATATATTGACAAGTTGTTCAGACGCTTGGTGATTTTAGAGTTTATTATATAGCCACCTGTCTATAGTTGAAGACTGTATTTTGAACATATATTTGGGCTATTTATGTCATTGGGTTGCTGTCTCGTTGACGAATACCCCACATCATCTTTATTCATGAAATCTAGGTAAAGATGACATAATTTTTGTATTAACTTTCATTTTCATTCAATATCATGTCAAACAATATATAGAATATATCATATCTAAAAGTAGCTGCTTAATTTAGACCTTTATACAATACTAAGTCATTCATGTATAAAATGTGAGTTAAACAGACCTATATAGTTATTTTTGAATGAGCCTTTTGTTATTATCAATCACGTGTCTAGTGCATTGTACTATGATTTGTAGTTACTTCTATCTCATCTTTCATTTTTTCAAGTCTCATTCAGATATAAAACATAAGTTAAGATGACAGGAATCCAAACAGGCCAAGAAAAATTTGGTTTTGTTTTCTGCCTCCCTACCTTCTCTAAATTTTCAAACCTTACCTCTCATATTTATCGGACATTTTTGGTTAAGCACTGTTAAATTTCAGACATTTTTGGTTAAGCTCTGTTCAAGTCCAGAATATTTCCCTTGTTAGTCTATGTAAAATATCTACCGGCAAATAAAAATATTTTTTATACCTACCTACTCAAGACAGGAAAAAAGAACATATAATTTTTGGCCTTATTTATTATCCAGGATGATTAATCTCCTTTATTGCTTTGATCTGAACCTCAACACAAAATTTAACCAGAGTTATATATATACATAAAATGTAGGTTAAGTTTTTACTATCAAAAATGTGCACACTGGCAGAATCATTCTTTAATAACTTGCAGTTTTATATTACTTGGCCTCTACCTGAGGAGTCATACAAGCATAAAATGTAAGTTACCACAGTCAATCAAGTATAAAATGTAGGTTTTTAAGGGGATTATAACTTCTGCAAGGGTCCAAGACGTGTCAAATGTCAATCTATCTGTCCTCTATGACTTGTTGCTTCTCAAACAAATAAAACCAAACCAGTCATTCATGACTGAAAAGTTTTCCATTTTTGCATGGAAACATGTAACTTTTCTTAATGATTTACACAAACCAAATACCAGTTGTTTATGATTTGTAGTTACTTTGATCTGAACCTCACCTTGGATAGATGAACAAATTAACAGTTGTGGGTGTAACAAAATGTTAATTTTCCACATTTAATGTATACAAAACTTTAAACCACAAATAAAAACCACTAATGAATGATATTTCCACATGAAAATTAGAAGCCATGAAAAAAAAAAATTGACACTTTTCTGCCTGAAAGCAGCACCTGTAATAAAATGTAAGCTGAAGGCCTATGGTTGTGATTTCCCTTTACACATTTAGAACAATATCAACAATACACACACTACAACAGTAAACCCAGTAAAAGAAGTTTTTTTTATGTTGTATCACTTATTGACACGTCTTATTTGCAAATGTATTAAAAGTTTAGCACATTCAACTTTGCACTTTTGTTTATCCATGCTTAATCTTTAATACTACTTAGAACATCAGTACATAAGAGATTACCGTAAGATCTGAAGATCCTTATTAATCCTGTTATTGTAATCACATTTAATGTGATTTCATTTCATGTTAGTTTTACATTCGTCATTATGTCCCTAATTTTGAAGAGGGATTCAGGTCACATGACACGTAACAAGAATAAATTTTCTTTAGACCAAGTTTTTTCTGAACAATTTATCTCTTTTTAACCAACTGGGGGGAGTAGGGAAACACATAACATCGATTACTTTCTTTTCACCCACAAAAGTCTTTTACCTTGCATTGTTTGTCACATGTTTTATTTCATTATAATAGCAATTGGGGCAGAATTTGAAGTCACAAACTCATTTAGAAATGGTAAATTCCATCTTTTGTACTGAAAACCAGAAAAATCAATTGATAAAAAATGTAAACCTGTCTTGCAAACTACAGTGCTTTGAAGCAATTCTGTTCAGTTCTGATCAGTAAGATGCATACCAAACAAATTTTTAACATTTTACAACTTTTGTGAGAGCCATTACAGAAGGGGTAGAATGTTCCCCCTTTCCATTGAAGTTAACAAAACACCAAGCTAATCGACTGATATTTCTGAACAACACAGTTGTGGTTAGTATGTCAGTAGGAAACTACCTAACAGCACAAAAAATCCACCTCTTTTCCATTTCGAAAAAAATATACTGTAGATGTATACAGAAATTTTCACATTTTCATTATTGCAAAAAACTGTGATGGAATAGGTTTGCAAAAATAGAAACTCAAATTTCAAACTTTGATAGCATTTTTGTATTTCGAATTTTCTGAAATCGTAATAATTAAAGGGATAGTAGCTACGATTTTGACAAAATTATGACCAAGTTTTAAAGCTGCTAAAATCAAAGATATGTACTTTAAATTAACAATAAGATCGTTGGAATGTTTATATAAAGTACAGAAGTGTTAATAATTGATAATTAATATCATGTAGCGTGCCTTTTCATCTCATTAATTATGCATTGGGTTTACTTCCCGAAGTTTGCCGACATAGCCAGTGAGATGACCAAGTTATAAATAAATATGAACATGTGCTTTTGTTTTCTTATGTATTTGACAATTTCTTTAGATTAAACGTACATATTTGAAACCATTTATCAATTTATGTAAACAACAAAATATACCAAATGCCTGCATATTATTCGAATCCAAGGTTCTCCAACAATGGCGATATTATACACTTGTTTTATATTTGTATGACAAAACAATGTCGATAACGTATACAAGTGTTTGTAAATTGAATTGGGGCCTTCATGCAAGGTACACCGGAAGAATAATATTAAATTGTAAGAAGTTGATTTTTAATGTCTTCTAAGTTGTGAGGTACTGCTCTTAAATTATAATGATATTTTGGACAATAATGATTTGAACACATCGCGATTTATTTTCATGTGATCTGGATTTGAAAAGTTCAGAAATGTTTTTTACATTTCGCAAACCGTCCTAATGTCGACTGCTTATATAATGACTTTATCTGCGTGACGGGTGTTTGTAAATGATTCTAATGACCGATCTCATCGCCGTTATTTATTTTCAATTTACAATAACTTGTCTGCACCTCTTTACTGTTTCTTTTTCTTGCAGAAACTGTAAACACACGTTCCATTTCCGCGATAACATTCCTCTGTTCGACATTTTCCCTTCGAGGGACAACTTGCGATTGCGCATTGGGAACTGCGGAGTTAAGGTCAACATAGGTCATATGAATAAGGGTTGGCTTAACATCGAATTTTTGTCTATAGACAAAAATTAAATTCAGGTGTAAAATGTTAAAAAGCTTCTAAATGCTAACTGGAAAGTAAACAGTGATGGTTTTATTCATTCTAAATAAACCTTTTGTACAAAATCCGACATATAGATTAGAAAAATAATTTTAATGAAAATCGTAGCTACTATCCGTTTAATCACATAATTTTGTCTCTTATTCAACAATCACAATAATAAAGAATGAATCCAAAAGTTTCAGAATTTACGATAGACTATTTCAAGATTTTAGTGTGAATCCTCATAGTGGATTATAACTCTCAGATTTCTTTGTGTATATTTTTGTATTTATTTACCTGTAGACATATGATGTCAGCCATATAATGCTTGATCTCATCCATGATGCCTTTTTTACGGAAATCCCAGTTGAGGGCCCATGATGGACAATACCCGTACAGTTGTCTGGTACAATACTTATCACACAAGACATTATAGCACATCACAGTGAATGTAGCTGGAAAAAAATAATACAAGAACTTATAATACATAACTAAAAGTTGCTATGCTGACTAGCGGTTTAAAAGAAAAGGTTCACAGCTAATTCAGTTATTTATTTCAAGGTGACCTTATGTCTTGGCTGTTATGTTTCATTGTTCTGTTCTTCACCATTTTATGTTTTTTACTTTGTAAACTTTTTGTTTGATGAGTGTTATTCCAGAAATATGTGTCACATGGACCAAAACATTTATTGTTGTTATTGTTCACATATGAAAACAAACTTTTTTTATTCTGAATTTCAATTATATTCAAACTTGAACATAAACATGGTATTTAAAATTTATAAAAATTCTATGATAATCAAGAGCAAATTCAATAATCCTTATCTAAATCATCTTTAGCAATACTGTATCTTGTCTATGGGTAGGAGCCAGTACAAACATTGACCGATATATTAATTACAGGCAACTTAACAGGGAAAGTACAGTAAAATGTTCAAATTTGTACAAATGACCTAAATTAGCTGAATTCTAATAAATGTTACAAAAAATAAAATATCAATACATTTGTTAATGACAGTTACAAATTATTATCTTGTTTGTTCCATGTTTTTGTTTTCGATTTACCTACAGGACAATTTTCTCACATCATGTTTTACAAGGATGTGGTTGTAGGAAAAAAAAAAAATCTTGGACGTCAATTTCTAAGAAATAAAACACCTGAAAATCAACAACAAAGAAATTCAAGGTCTTGTTCTAATTTACACTTAACACATGTTCTTCTCTTGTATTACTCTAAACAACAACTTTCTACATAATGTTTGGTAAAGAATGTAACAATTATTTCCAGGAAAACATTGTCACATGCTTCTATCCTTTTTCCCAGTTCTATAAAAGAATTAATCCATTAGTTCTATCATTGTTGTAATATATTTCTTTTCTTCCCTGTAGCCTCTATATAGTCTATGGTAACCTTTTTTATTCCATTCTCCCAATTTAAAAAAAAGTGTAATGCATGCAATCTGTAATGCTCTGGGTACTATCACAGAGCATGTATGACTGCGTCTATAATGCTCTTGGGGTACTATCACAGATCAAGTCTGACTGCAGAAACATTTGTCTCAAGACATTGAAATTCTTTAAAATTTGTCTGAATTCAGTCTGTTTTTTATAAAAGTTTTTACTATTAAAATATGCATGTAAAAACTTGCTGGTAACAGTCATAAAAGTACAGAATTTTGTGGGAAAGAGGATGTGTATGTCTTATACCTTGTATATTCTAAAGCCTAACACACAGAAAGTCAATGTTTCATTTTGACCTTTTTCTTTCCTCAAAATGTCCACGACAATGTAATTCACAGTTAAAATATAATCAAACATTTTAAATTAATGTCTTTATAGTCAAAACGTGAGAAAAACGCATAATATTTTGTAAGTTTGTAATAGTAATGTTTTTGTTTTATAAACGTTGTTTTATGATATATTATGTTCAATGATAAATGAAGAAATTATTCATGTAATAACAAGTACAATAATGACATATAATTATATTAGATTCATACAATTGTATCAATTTAACATTATGTAACAGATTTTAATTTATGGTCATGTGAAGGCATTTAGATTGGGTTCCAGTCATATGATTAATTTAGGTTAAAAAAATTGTTTATGGCACATCTATAGTAGGTGTAGGTCAAACATATTAAATCTGGTCTGCTTCCACACAAACATACAATCTCACATTATTATTTCATGGTTGTTTAATGTCCATTGCAAAAATGACATATATACCCAGGAAAGCAGTGTGTTTATGTCATAAGAATATGCCCTGATATGTGCTAGACAGGCACAATCCTCACAAGGCAAAAAGTTCAAAGAAAGATATGTCAAACTAGGAGGCAACATAATTCTGACTGAGTAAACAGTCTGCTCTTACTCTTAAAAAATCTACAGTCTTGATAGCTCAACAAATACCAGTCCTAAAGTATTTTGATTTGACCAGGCTGTTGATCTACCCCGTTACCTCCACTCAAGAAGTGCATGCTACCCAAAAGATCACATAGGCCTATTATACCGATACTTTAAATATGTATCATTATTGTATCCTTATTAATTACAAATTGGCACACAACTTAAGTTGGTAAATTGGCTACATTTTTGCACCAAGGATGATGGGCAGGGGCTGGAAATTCCAGAAGACAGTGTTCGAGGGCTCTCCTAAAGTGCAGTGCAGACTGGTCACCATGTACCAGTAAGTAACACAGCCTGTCGAACGTGAAATATATAAAACAAAATATTTGACTGTTTGAATTATACACTTGTTTATTATCCTCACCAGCTATGTTAAATATAAGTTTTGTTCAGCATGTTTGTACTAATAATAAAATTAGAGCAATACACATTCCTAATGAATATTCAACCCACAGGGTATTTTTTTAATTTAGTCAAACATAACTGAGGCATGTGACCTTAAATAACTTTCCCTTTAACAATTCTGAGGTTCAAAATTTTGTTAAATCTTAACAAGAGTGCACACGCTGAAATGTCTCGCCTTCTTTACTAATCATTGATATTATGTTGATAGTCCTAAATATAAAGCTTTATTACAACTGTCACATAAACTTAACATTAACCAAGTAAACTAAACATTGACCAATGAACCATGAAAATGAGGTCAAGGTCAGATGAACCATGCTAGGCAGGCATGTACAGCTAACAATTCTTCCATACAACAAATATAGTTGACCTATTGCTTATAGTTTAAGAAAAACAGACGAAAACACAAAAACTTAACACTGAGCAATGAACCTTGAAAATGAGGTCAAGGTCAAATAAAACCTGCGTGACTGACATATAGATCATAAAATATTTCCATACACCAAATATAGTTGAACTATTGCATATAGTATTAGAAAAAAAGACCAAAACTCAAAAACTTAACTTTGACCACTGAACCATGAAAATGAGGTCAAGGTAAGATGACACCTGCCAGCTAGACATGTACACCTTACAATCATTCCATACACCAAATATAGCTGACCTATTGCATGCAGTATTAGAAAAAAAGACCAAAACTCAAAAACTTAACTTTGACCACTGAACCATGAAAATGAGGTCAAGGTCAGATGACACCTGCCAGCTAGACATGTACACCTTACAATCATTCCATACACCAAATATAGTAGACCTATTGCATACAGTATAAGAAAAACAGAACAAAACACAAAAACTTAACTATAACCACTGAACCATGAAAATGAGGTCAAGGTCAGATGACACCTGCCAGTTGGACATGTACACCTTACAGTCCTTCCATACACCGAATATACTAGACCTATTGCTTATAGTATCTGAGATATGGACTTGACCACAAAAACTTAACCTTGTTCATTGATCCATGAAATGAGGTCGAGGTCAAGTGAAAACTGTCTGACGGGCATGAGGACCTTGCAAGGTACGCACATACCAAATATAGTTATCCTATTACTTATAATAAGAGAGAATTTAACATTACAAAAAATCTGAACTTTTTTTTCAAGTAGTCACTGAACCATGAAAATGAGGTCAAGTACATTGGACATGTGACTGACGGAAACTTCGTAACATGAGGCATCCATATACAAAGTATGAAGCATCCAGGTCTTCCATCTTCTAAAATATAAAGCTTTTAAGAAGTTAGCTAACGCCGCCGCCGCCGCCGCCGGATCGCTATCCCTATGTCGAGCTTTCTGCGACAAAAGTCACAGGCTCGACAAAAACAATCAGTCAGTTCTGGACAAAATAACTGGAGGTTTAATGGACAGTTGAAGATTTCTAAAAATTACATATATGATAGAGAATACACAAATTTTATATACACATTTAACCCAATCCCTTTACCCAATAAGTACATATTTATTAATATCAAATTAAAACCAGGGTCAAGCTTTCCAAATCTTTTTAGATAAAAAGTAAAACTTGACTGACAAGCTTGGCTAAAAGATTAGAACACAAGATATTTTCAACCACTGGACCATGTTAGAAATGTCTCCTTCATATTACTCCATAGACACTTACAAGGAAGGAATAAAAAGGCTTTTTATGATAACATGAAAATTTTTATAAGGGGATGTCATTTAACATGGCTAACAACATTTAACATATTCAACAGTTCATTAGCATGCAGTAATTATTCAAGGACACTTAAGGTACCCCTACACAACCACATAAAAAGAAATTGATAAGATATTAACACCCTATTATTGTAACAAAAGATGTTACATACATGTAATTATAACTCCTACATACACTAAACACTCCCCCATTTACACCAGATATGTATTCACAGAAATCTCTATTTTTCCATCGGTGTAACAATGTATTTTATGGTCTAATTACATGTATTATCATGCTTTACAATAAAAAAAATATATTACAAGTAATAAAACTAATTTTCTTTGTTTACCACTACTTCAAAGTACTTGACAGAGTTTTCTTTTGAACATGAGAAAAGCTTCTAAACAACAAAAACGGTTAATTGTGGGCAAAATATAAAAAAATTCATAGTATCATTTTTAAATTCTTTAATACTTTTTTAACACATTACATATATGTATACATCCTTGGCTTTGCAGGGTCTATACCATGGCTGATAAATGGTTAGTCTATGAAGGTATTAATCAACTGCCAGGTAATTTAGTCCTATTTTTCTCTGAGCAACATTAATTCCAAGCTTCTTGATATTTATTACCGAGTATATATTTACTGTGTGACACATTTTCAGATCCATTTCATATCTCCTTCCTGTCTGCTACTTACATGTATATTGTATGCATTAATTCATATAAAGGATCTAGACCAGAAGCAAGGATTTGAATCCCGCTGATGGAAGAACAAAAATTTGCTCACACAAATTTGACGATTTAACATTGTTGGGCTAAATTTGAGACGAATTATATATATATTATGGTGTTAGCCCTGTATAACCACGTGTAATCTGATGGAGAATGTCTGTCATAAAGTTGTCATAAGTTTAACGTATTAGACATGTATAATAAAATTAAAATTTGATGTGGCGGCATGGTAATTAACATTATCATCCTTTACGACAGACAAAATAGCTGATCTGAAAGGTACACCATCTAATTGCCACGATACATCATGTACTGTGTTACAACCCTAGATAAAGCCGATGAGGAAAGGCATTACATTAACCACTGAAAGCTATATTTTTATGTAGCCTAGGTGGTCGAGTGGTCTAGGGCTCTGGAGACAGTGCATGCAGTGTTACCACAATATCACAGAAGCAGGGGTTCACTTCCCACTGAGGGAAGAACAAAAATTTGCTAACGCAAATTTGACGATCTAACATTGTTGGGCTAAATTTGAGACGAATTATATATATATATCATTGTTAGGTTGATTTTCTAAGCACTTTATATATAGAACAGGTGATGCTTTCCGGGAAAAGATGGAAGAATATTTTATTAAAACATTTAAGCCGACGCTAAATGCTAAACAAAAGGCATAACGTCAAAAAACATCCTCAACAACATTAACGACCAACTTTACCAACAACAACGTCTTAGTCTTGAAAAGTCCCTTCAGAAGGATGAAACCCGCTAGACAACTGACAATGTTTTAACTCACTTTCTATTGTTTTTTTTTCATAAATATATAATTCTGTGCATGTGAACTTTTTTTCTTACCTACATATATATTTATATGTGCTTCAATGTGAAGAGTACTCTGCATGTATGTTGCTAACACTAACAGGATGCAGATATGCCACAGGTCAGAAAATGTGTCACAATATAATTGACCATTAGGAAAATTAGTACCAAATATCAAGAAGTGCTGAGAAAAAAGCAATAGAAATGTGTTACAAATGGACAGAAGTAAACCAGTATACCCTCTCATTAGGAACGAGGGTATCATCAATGTTCATAGACAAAGAGAGTTTTGTGACGTTTGCTAAAACAAATGAATGCAAAGAGGTAACACCTTGAAGGGCAACTCAATATTTAATTTTATCACAGTATCATTTAAGGACACTCCACTTTATGTTGGTTTCCACACCCACTTTAATAACAACTTTCTATTTCTAGATATATTTTTTGGCAATTAAAAAGCAATCATAACTATATTCATATCTGCACATTTAACTTTGTTGGTGCAAGTATCTTAAAAAATTGAATAAAAAAGGCGTCATCAGATATGGTATTAGGTACTTGTATGGTGAACAGTCATTAAATGAAAGCCACTTTAAGAAAAATTGGTGATCAAATTCAAAAAACCATGAGGCAGAACTTACCAAATTAAGCAACAATGACTAAATACATTTTTTTTTATCAACATCTGATAATATTTAGCCTTTAAATTTAAGTCCGCCAGTAATTTATGTATTGATGATAAATTTTTTTTAAAGTAAAAAAATGTCAGTTTGAGACTTGGCCAATAGCAGAGTAAAATTCAGTGTTTACAATTATAATTTTTGTTATATCAAGAAGAAAGTCATGCATCCCTTATTCTTTAATTAAGGTAAAAATTGAAAACTTTAAAAATAGATGCAAAAACAGGATCAATGTTAGAATTAATTCTTCCGTCAACAATTAGCCAGATTAAAACATGCAAATCACAAATAAAATGTAACAGAGATGTTAAAAGTACACGGAACTAATCTTGTCTACAGTCTGAATGGATATAAGTTTGGCATGTATTTTTGTAAACAAATTCTGAATTTTTGATAATCCAATTATCTGAATCAAAATACAGAGCAATAATGGACTTATCATACAGAGCTCTTTTCCAAGTCAAATTCAGAATTGATTTCTCCACTCTCAAAGGTTGCAGAAACCCCACAACTACTTCTAACCATTACCTGTTTCTTGCAATGAACCAATTCTACTTTTAGGGAATGGAAATAACTGCTATACCAGTGTTCCTATAGCATCTTTTTAAAACCTTAGAGTTCAATGGACCTACCTGTTGCTTTGGTCTTGTCAGGTGGTGACAGAAACATCCATTGCCTTTCTGGTGGTGCTGTACTATTGACTACAATAAAAAAGATCAAATAAATTGTTTAATAATTTCATTTTCATGCGATTAAAGTCAATACTCTCTTAATTTAAAAACTATTATATAATGTTTTCCTATGACCCTTAAAATCATTAAAAGAAGCACCAAAGAGCTAGATTTCGAAGTAAAAACTTCAATGCATATTTAGAATGTTATCAGAAATCTTTTTTTCCCTCTAAAAACTAGGTGAATGACTTGCCACCATGACATTTGATCTCTTTGTGCTAAGAAACTATGTGACAATGAATTCAATTAATTTTATTTTTATGAATGGATGATTATTTACAAGTGATGTCTTCAATGTTGATCAGCCAACAGAAGACTGAGTAAACGAGGGAGAGTGCGATTTACACTCACTTAAACATGTTAAAGCTTTTACTTTATATCCATATTTCTTTTGTTTTTTCTATTTCATATTTGGAAAACCATTTAAGCATTTAATAACTGACTTGAAGATGATAAATGGCAATATTACAGAGCTGTTTCTTTGCTTTGGGTTTCATTAATTTGTGCCTAGATAAGAAGCACCATTGAGCCTGGTTTTTCCTCAAAAACTTGTTAAAAGAAAAAACTGCACTGTGATTGGATAATTCCCGTCCAAGTCCATCCAAGTTTCAAGAAAAATAGGATGAGATTCTTTTCAATCAAAATCGGTCAAAGTATTCTTTGACAGCTATCACTATAAAAAAATCATCCCAAACTTGGACCAAGAAAATTTTTGATAGTGACAATGGGCCTTTACATCGTTTCTTTTTCAAAGTTGATTTAGTTATTGCATATTTCTAAACAGTCTATTGTAAGTTACTATTGTACTTATTGTAACAGCATGTTGTAAACAGTCTATTGTAAGTTACTATTGTACTTATTGTAACAGCATGTTGTAAGCAGTCTATTGTAAGTTACTATTGTACTTATTGTTACAGCATGTTGTAAACAGTCTTTTGTAAGTTACTATTGTACTTATTGTAACAGCATGTTGTAAACAGTCTATTGTAAGTTACTACTGTACTTATTGTAACAGCATGTTGTAAACAGTCTATTGTAAGTTACTACTGTACTTATAAACAGTCTATTGTAAGTTACTATTGTACTTATTGTAACAACATGTTCTAAACAGTCTATTGTAAGTTACTATTGTATTTATTGTAACAGCATGTTGTAAACAGTCTTTTGTAAGTTACTATTGTACTTATTGTAACAGCATGTTGTAAACAGTCTATTGTAAGTTACTATTGTATTTATTGTAACAGCATGTTGTAACGGAATCAAAAGAGTTTATTTTTTTGCTTTCCCTTTATAGGTCAACAAAATTGCATCTGACAAGCAAAAACCCACTCAAAAAAAACACCACACAGATTACAACCAACAAAAGACATGCTGGTATTAGCCTATCAATTTCACAGACAGTCATCCCGTACTTTCATAGATGCTTTGTCCAAATCAAATCATACCAGTAAAATAAAGCATTGATTTTTAGGTAAAACATATGAAAATTGAAATGTCTCAAGGCTGAGTGACCTAATTCTGTAGTCGACCAATCAATACATCCCATCTTAATGTGAATACTTTAACTGTACTAACCACAGCAGTTAATACTGCATTGTTCTGTAACAAATCATTACAGAATTTAATGACGCTATTGTTCAGTATCAGAGCAACCTATTTCAAGTTCTTATATAATTTTATATGGCATGTGATGAATGATAAGATTTAAGTTAAGCAAGGTTTATGCACTGAATTGTCTTTGATAGTTTATTAAAAAAACATGATTTCGTTTTAATTTGCATTTAAAAATTATTTTCACTATAATCTTCAGGGAGATCATAGAAACAATATATATAATCAATTTTATTAATCTTAATCTTTCAGCATTTTACAAGACAGCAATACAAGACAATGTGCTTCCAGGCAGACATTAAATTCAAAGTTAAAGAAAATAAGGTTAAGCTTTCATCTTTGATTAAACAATAACACATCCAAGCAAATTTTACCTCAGCTTATATCATAACTGAAGTAATCCATAACCAGTTAATGAAAATTTATTGTTAAGATTTCTAAGTAGCCACACTAGCTTGAAGGTCCAAAATGTTTAGTACTGACATAAAATAGTAATAATGTCCTAAATATTTAATAATACATAAACAAGATAATAGGAATTACCAAAAATATTTGACAATACAACTGACCAGACCAACAACCGACTAGACCAACAACCAACACCAGACCAACAACTGACCAGACCAATAACTGACCAGACCAACAACCAACACAGGATCAACAACTGACCAGAACAACAACTGACCAGCCAACAACTAACCAGACCAACAACTGACGAGACCAACAACCGACCAGACCAACACCAGACCAACAAGGTCAATAATACACCCAATAGACAGAATTGTCAACAAACCTGAAAGAGCACTTGAACTGAACTAGTGTTATTATAGTAGCCTGTTTGCATATGCATAAAATAATGTGGGGTTACAAGGATAGTTTGACCAATCCCCCCATTTTAATCCTAAACTATTTAGACCATACGAAAAATCCATTAAGCATTTAAAACAAAATGGAAAATATTATGATAAAAGGCAATTACTGACTTAGCACACAATCATACGGCCTCTGTAGATATACTATTAGTATGTTTGTAAACACTTGTATTCAACTCAGTTATAATTATTGTAGGTAAAATACTACTGTTACATTATGGATTTTTGCATAATAATTTTTCTTTAGCTTAACTGTCACAAAGAAAAGTAATTACATATCTAAAATTATGCAATTTTTTCTAAAATGAAAAGGAATGTTAAAATTCAAAAATCCATTTAAACAATTAAAGCCTTGCATAGTAATTCATATCTAATAACTAATAAAAACTTTCTGTAAAGTTATATTCAATTTTTGTAGCCATGAGTTACATAACAATTAATTATGCAGATATTCAGAAGTTTTTCTAAAGCCATTACGAAACGTTCTGAAATTTGATTGCAACTGTCTACTGATTTCCATGGTCACTTGACTAACTTGGTGAAGTCACAGATGACCTTTCAATGGACCAAAAATTCTGAAATTAGACTGATCTTCAGAATAATTTGTATTGACTTTTATGTTATCCCAGACTTACAAAATTACCTGTTAAGACTCAAGGACTTAAATTATGTTAAGTCAATATTTTGTTTGTTCAGAAGAGAATGACCTGAAAGAATTCAGGATCCAATCAGTACAATTCATAGGATGTTAGTATGTATTGCGTACAGAACCCTTCCTTATAATCATTATAATCTGAGCAGATTTTCCTTAAAAGTGGTTGGTTGTCACTTTTTTTCTGAAGAATTCAATAGCCTTTCTGCTGTTCGCCACTAAACCTCCAGTTGATTGTAAGTGTTAGTTGTTTTATAGGGAAACTTACACAATTTGGATGAAATTTAGTTTGACAAATATAGAAAAGTTCTTCAACTTTGCAATTTTGCTCTCCTGTTACTAAAAAATTTACAGTGGAGACTGTTAATTATTTATGTATAAAAAAATAACACTTTTCAAATCACTGCATCTCGATTGTTTTATCTACTTTAGGATTTTTTGGCAACTTCATAAGGAGAAATGACAAAACTGAGTGATACATATGACATTTCTGACTTATCCAAATTGTACCATATGACACAGTCTGCAAGGATTTCCTATCTATTACACAAACTTTTTGTTGGGTAAAGACATGAGAACCCTGACACCCATCTAAACTTAATCTCAAATTGATCTATAATATTACATCTATAGCCTATTGCTATCATCAAATTTAAATCATCTGTATACCTATATAAACATTATCCTTCAACCTTTGTCTGACAAAGATTCCTTATATCAATAAATCTACATCTGATCTAGTGTTACTAAAATATATCCACATTCATATCAGCAAACAATCCTTCCTAGTTTTTCAATGGTTCAACTATTAGCATTCACAAACGAAAGGGCTTATTTCTTCATCATTAAATTCATGTTGGTTTTATCAAAACCGGACTTGCTTACTTTTAATAAGTAGTTGTAGTAAACATTATAATGTTTATTTGAACTCAGTTGACCAATGTTTTCCCCCTGGGACATTTAACTATTTCCTGTCTGATGACCAACAACCATATATAAAAGAAATTGTTGAAATTGTTCATTGTAATTGCACACATCTTGGTATACCACCATGTACAATGATATGATGAGTAATACTCCTTTTAAAAGGAGTGAAAATCATATAAAAGCACACTTTTCTTTGACAACATCCCCCCAAAAATAAAGGTGATCTATGATTACAAAATTTGCCTCACCACCATTCAATTGGCTTGATAAACTTTAAATAATAATACAAGCAGTTGTTGATGTGGAAATTAATGTAAGCAAGTAGGGACCAAAATGTGGTCATTTGCAAATTACAGGACTCCCAAATTTCATTATTGTCCAGTCCATCTGATTGTCTCTTTACAAAATTACAGGTTTACACTCAAATACTCAGTCAAAGGTACACTATATTTGTGTATATTGTCAGTCAAAGGTACACTATATTTGTGTATATTGTCAGTCAAAGGTACACTATATTTGTGTATATTGTAAGGACAACATATCACTGGAGTTAACATTTTATGCCCTTTATGGATCTACTACCAACTGAGGAACTGTAACTTAAAGGTCTTTAAGATATTTTTTTATTAAGTGCAGACCAATAAAAAATGAGGTCATCACCCAAGAGGTACAGTTCTGCAGCTAGATAGTACTCCTACATCATAAAACTGCCCACATAATACTTCCTCTCATAATAGGTTTCTTATCATGAAACTTCCTTTCACAATAAGGAAATCTTAACAAAGCATTTTCTAACCATAAGTGGGTCTTAAGTATGTCCTATTTAAACAATACATTTTCAAATACTGAGGTTGCTTTTGAATTGGTTTATAAGGATAAATACTTCCTTATGTAGAACTCAATACCGT